TCCCTTTATCATAATCCGGAGTGGTGAGCTTGGAGTTTTGTTAGGCCGAAACAGCACTTGGTATGCATGCTAACAATCTAGAATCTGATATAAGTTCTAGAACATACTTGCCTGTTGACTAAGGGAAATGCATGCAATTTCAATCCCTAAGAAATATTTTGGTTCCCCCAGGTCTTTTATCCGAAAATGCCTGTTGAGATGCTCTTTTAATGTTTTGATGGCTGCTTCATCATTACCTATGATCAGAATATCATCAACATAGATGATGAAGGTAATGAAGGTTTTACCTTTACGCCAAGAGAAGAGTGCATAATCATGCTTAGATTAGACAAATCCTAAGACTATGAGAGCTTCTGTGAATTTTTCATTCCACTGTCGAGACACTTGTTTTAAACCATAGAGGGACTTTTGTAGATGACATACTGTGTTCTCCCCCTGTTTGAGAAGTCATGGTGGAAGATCCATATAAATTTCTTCATGTAGATCACCATGAAGAAAGGCATTATGAACCTCCATTCGATGGAGAGACCAATCTCGAACAGAAGTAATAGAAAGGAAAGCCCGGACAGTAATATGTTTAGCAACAAGGAGAATGTCTTTTGGTAATCAAATCCCTCTCATTGAGTAAAGCCTTTGGCAACTAACCGAACTTTATAACGTTCAATCGATCCATTAGCACAATGTTTGATTTTATAAACCCATTTGCAACCAATAGGTTTTCGGTGAGGTGGGCGAGGCACCAAGTCCTAAGTATTATTTTGGGCAAAAGTCGTCAATTCATCTGCCATGGCTTGCTACTAGTGGGGATGGTGAATAGCTTTGGAATAAGTGGACGGTTCACAATCGGCAAAAATCTAATGAACACATATCCTGTGGATAGGACATAGATAATCATAGTTGACATATTTAGAGGTCGAGTAAGGGGTACCTAATGGAGCCAGTATAGTGGAACAAATGTATTATGTCATCCAGATAAAGGGCCAGGTGATACGAGTAGACCGTCATTGAGGAGGCCTAAAATTTGGTGTGGGAGATACTGGAGGCCCTAATGGTGGTATGGGAGATATTGGAGGCCTTGTAGGTGATACTGGAGGATATGTAGGTGAACTATCGATAGGTTGTGTTTTTTCTATCGGTGGAGAATCAGGGATAGGACTAGTTGGTGGGTTTACATCCAATGATAGACTAATGTCATTAGCAGGTAGCATTGTAAAAAGAGAACCTGTCAACCCATCATCCTCAAAAAAATTGGTTGACTGTTGAAGAGGAGAGTTTGAATTTGCTTCATTATTGAGAAAAGGGAAACTATCTTCATGGAATACAACATCCCGAGAAACCATAAATTTGTTTACAGCTAGATCATAAAAACAATAACCCTTCTAAAGCATTGGATATCCCATGAAAATGCACTGAGTGGCCCAAGGTCTAAACTTGTCATGGGACCCAATAATGGTATAGTAACAGAGACAGCCAAATACTCATAGATGATTGTTGTCAGGTGTTTTGCCAAACAACATTTCATATGGAGTCTTACCACTGAGTATCCAGGTTGGCATGCGATTGATTAGGTAAGTGGCTATGATCACACATTCACCCCAAAATTTAACAGGAATGTTGGCTTGTGGTTAAGGGCACGAGCTACTTCTAACAGGCGTCGGTGTTTTCGCTCAACTACCCCATTTTGTTGAGGTGTATAGGTGCAAGAACTCTCGTGAAGAACTCCAAAAGAGGAAAAAAGAGTTGAGCATTGATGGTTAAAGAAGTCACGAGCATTATTTATTCGAACACACTAGACAGATGAATGGAACTGATTAGTGACCATAGTTAAGATATTTTTAATATGGGTGAAAGTTTGGGCTTTTGACTGCATAAGAAATACCCATGTGCCATGGGAGAAATCATCCACAATTGTGAGAAAAAATCTGGATCCATCATGGTTAGGAGTGTGGTAAGGAACGCAAATGTCTAGATGGATTAGGGAAAAAGGCTGTGTAGTGGATGTGCTATGTAGGAATGTTATATGGGATTGTTTTGCTAAAGGGCATATTGGACATTTGGGTTGAGGAATTGATGCACTATGACCCAGTCTTTGAAGGAGAATGAAAGTATTTTTTTTTTATTGATATTTGTATTACAATGAACAGTTTTATTTGTAATACAAGATGACAAACTTTGAAATTTATTGAAAAAAGTATCAGAAGTCTATTAGTATAAACCATTATTGACTCAACCCAAGCCCATCAGTGTCCCAATCGAAGGGTCCTGAAATTCACATGTGTTAGGAAGGAATTTTAGAAGGCAACTATTGTCAATGCAAATTTTGGAGATAGAGATAAGATTAAAATGGAAGGCAGGAACAAAAAGAACATTTTTTAGAATTAATTATTCAGTGAGAGGAACTGTTCCTATATAGGTGGCTGGGGTGATATTCCCATTTGGCATACGAACGGATATAGATGCATGATGCAATAGTTTTATGAGAGAAAATTTTTGGGTTGCAAATAATATGATCACTAGCCCCTGAATCAATAATCCAAACATCATCTTTAATAAAATTCAAGCAAAAAGATGTACTTGCATAGGATGCGGTAGATGTGGATGAGATTCATCATCTGAAGGAGTTGATTGTATTGTTCTGTACTGATTAGTGGTGATTGGACTTGATTTCTGGAAGGAATGGTGGTAACTTAATGAACGGTTGAATTTCCATTTTTGTCCAAATTAGGGTGCCCATGTAATTTCCAACAATGATCTCGAGTGTGGTTTCGTCTTTTACAATATTTACAAAACAATTTTGGTTTACCTGTTTTGGAAGATCCAGACCCATTGGACCAATTTGAACCATTGGAACAATTGGGCCCATTAGCCCGAGTTGACTTGTTTGACCCTGTGTGTGATGTGGTGGCATGAGGGCCTTGCAATTGATAAGTCATTTTCTGGCTGTTGGATGAGAGAATTAAATCTTGGCCTTTCAAACTCTTCATTCTCATTTTTTGCAAAAACCTAGTCGCTCCACATCTTTTTTCTCTCCAGCAGACGGCACAAACTTCTTCTTCTCACCCAAAAAAGTGACCGCCTATCCTGATTTTGCTCTATCTATGACCAGCCATAGTTGGCTCTCCTCTTGGACAGCCAACTGAAAAGTATAGTGAAAGGTTGGTGGCGGCGATGTGGCTAGGATTTGAGTGCAAAATGAAAGGAACGACTCGTTGAGCCCAGGAGAAATCAACTAAGCCTCTCCTTATCTCAGATTCTTTGGTATTGCACATGGGTTGCCGACGGCCCATCAAGAGTTTCTTCAACCACATCCAAATCATTCCATACAGCATAAAGGTTGTTGAAATAGGTTTTTACAGTAGAGTTGCCTTGGTGGATGTTAGTGAGTTGTTGGCAAAGGGTGAAAACTTTTGCTAAATCAAGCTTCCCATACATCTCTTTGATGTGTGTCCACATCTCAACAGCTATTTCCATCGGAGGAGAATTGGCCACCATTTCGAATGTTAAACAATTTTCGATCCAAGATCTTACCAACATATTACATCTCTTCTAGTAATGGTAGAGATAGGATTCAATCTGTGGTAGAAGAATTGAGCCATCAATGAATCCCTCTTTATCTTTTGTTATGAGAACTCATCAGAAATCGGAAGCCCAACCAGCATAATTGTCAGATCCAGTCAAGGGCTGTTTGAGGTGAGTGATTTCCAGTCCATCGTAGGCTGATGCATACAAGGCGTCGCCTGGTTTAGGGTGGTGACTGTTGGTTGGTAGAATCTAGAAATCGAGTGGATGGTTCAAGTAGGGATTTTGACCCGAATCATAACCCAAAAACCCAAATGGGTTGGATTGATTTGTTGGGTTTGGGTCGATTTGTATCGTTGGTATTAGGCCAATCTAAGTTGTTGGGTTTGGTTCGGTTTGTATTGCTGGTGTTGGGCCAGTTTGAGTTGTTAGGTTTGGGCCAGTCTGAGTTGTTGGCTTTGGGCCGGTTTGTATTACTGGTGTCAGGTCAATTTGAGTTGTTAGGTTTGGGCTGGTTTAATTTGTTGGGTTTGGGCCGGTTGGAACGGTTTGATCTGCTGGGTTTGGGTTAGTGGTAGTTTCGTTAGGGCTGGCTATGGGTATTGTGATTGGGATGTTTGCCATCTGTTTGATGAAATAAGGATAGAAGAAAATAAAATTATGAGGAAAACTAACAGAGTATCTGTTTGCAATGCAGGTACAGAAAAAAAAAAATGTTAGCTGAGCGAAAGCTGTGTTTATGAAGATCGCTTTGATACCATGTCAAAACTTGAGTTGGCAAGAGAAGCACAATGAGAAATAAAGAGATTGCCAGAGAATGCCAAGAAAGAAGAGACTGACAGAAAGATTTATGTCCTTTGTAAATGTAAGCATAAAAATAGAAATGTAATAAAGTCTAATTGCAAAAATTATGAATGATTGATTTGAGATGATTATGCCAAGAATCAAGGTTGGAGTCAAGGCATAATCATAGGATGTAATGAAGGCTGTGATCAGCATAACCACTGCATTCTATTCCATCATATACTTCAAGCGGGAATTGGACTTGTCTTATCGACTAGTTAAATTCACCAAATTGGATTGTCGCCAGAAAATGCTAAAGTATGAACACCTTCAGCCTGTGAGACGAAATTTCTCTTTTAAATTTGAAGGATTAATCTTATCGAAACCTGTTATTAATTGTGAGAAATCTAGCTAGCCAGCTGAGTTTTACAGCTCCAGAGGTGAATTGGTTTCATTAATATACAAGTCTCATAGAGATTAACAGTAATAGTCTTCCAAACCAAGATAAAATTCAGATGACTAAAAATTCTTAAAACAGAAATAAATATTTATTAAGGATATTGTAACTTAAAATTTTGTTTGAAAGGAAGACCAATACCATTCAATTTAGCAAACTGAATACTATGACATCTTGATTAGAGTACCCACTATAATTTGTTACATACTATATTTTCAGAATCTCAGAAAACAACCTCGTAATTATTTATAAAGTAAACATTAATTTTTATTTGAATAGTAGCTTATAGTAGTATTTTTTTCCATCAACTAGAAAGCGTAAAACACTTTCCCATATTAAAATTGACCTATTAGGCAATATTTTAGATAAATAAATACATTAATTGTAAATTCCCCGAGTAGGTACATTTTCAAAAAGAAGGGACTTAATATATTCCTCGAGGCTAGGAAGCCGTTGGTTGTCGTCGTAACTGTACATCAAGGGAACCATTCTTGCAAGATTAAGAGAAGCCCTTGTGAAAGAAGATGAAAATGGGTTGGGAGAGAGGCATTCCTTGTTGAGGATCTTCCATGCATCTGAAATCTTGTTGATAACATTTTTTTCAGCAGTTTCTGCATCACAGTCTGGATGATCCTTCATGTAGTAATATATGTATGATCCATCTTTACCATCCTGATTCTCATCCTGAAATTAATTGAATGGTATAACTCTTCTATCAACCTCAGATTAAACGTTTATTACTAATTATGAACTGAGTGGACATAGATGATTCACTCTTCATCATCATGAATTGTTGAATATGACTAATACTACTAGTTGCAACACAGGTTCCACCATCTTTGTCAACAATAATTCAAGAAACGTCCACATGCTACTATTCAATTTTGTACATATACAGTAATTACTACTATGAATTTTTGCGGTCACTACATACCTTTGCACTTCCCAAGTCATCCCAAAGCCGAAGAATTGTGGCGGTAGATGAGATTATGACTGGGTTTTTGTCAATAAGTTCCAAAGTCTCTGTTGTCATATTCTGACCCAGTAGAAAGAAAATATGCACTAGTCCTACGTTTACACCTGAACTAATAATCCCATTTTTCAAGTACTCTTCAGCCTTGGGCAAATTTCCTGAAGAAAACCATTTTGCTTCGACTAGAAATGCGCTGCACAAGCTTGCCCACTGTAGCCATTAATTAGCTTTTAAAATTCGATATTGAATTCTATTTGGTAAATAAAATAAATAGAGATATTATAAATATACCGCTTTTTGCAGGGAATGCACAGGATTATAGCCGTGAGCTTTGAATATCTTGTGGCTGATTTCGCTTGTGACATCATCAAGAACCTTAAAACATATCCTCATGTATTCAGGCAGTTGATCTATTGCAGCAAGATCCCATCTACAATAATTGATTTCCAAATCAAATTAATTTTGATAATTGAGAAAGAAAAACTTCTCAATCGGTTTATAATAAATTTAATATATCATTAATGCATAGATATATATACCTATTAATTATCTCCGTAAAGAGAGTGAGTTCATCGAGTGTCCCATGAACATCAAAAATGTCATCTATAAGGTAGATGAGGAATATGGGTTTTGCGAGCTCAACTCTTTGCCATGACAAGCTTGCATCCGTGAGACTGGTCATGGACCAAATGTACCATTTTAGAGGTTGGTCTCTGGCAAACTCCAACTTCTTAGCCAAACCGAGGTCTTTCCACCATCTAATATATTATCACAAACATATATGTAAATTAGAGAAATAAAATATCTGACAATGACAACATAACTAGTGTTGTGAATGATCACACTTACTGTGAAGTTTTTACCATTTCCTTTTGGTGCAAGGATTGCACCAAATTGAAATCTATTTTGGCTAGATCTTCAAAAACAAGTGTCCATTTATTTTTACTCGGGAATTTACTAACAAATAAGTTCTTGGCCATCAACCTTGCCAGGCTTTTGTGAAAGGGATGCGCCAACGTTTTCTCAACAATCCTAGCTTGATAATGGTCAAGATTTTTTACCCTTTCAGTGAGGAGCTTGACACTAAAGTCCCCAGCTTCATCAAGCACATCTTCTCCATCTATACTAAGATGTGAAGCTTCATATAACCCCATCAATCCATTAATATCTTCACTTGCTTTCTGGTTAAACTTTCCGTCCTTGTTTCTGAAGTTGTTAAAGATGTCTTTTTACGCCGGTGAAAAGAGAAAAAAGAAATTACCACCAGGTTTCATTAATAAATTATTAATCAAAAAAATTTGGTAACAAAAAAATAAATGATATAAACACCTGCAGGTACATAATAACCATGTTGTCTCAAGAGGCAAAAGCGAAGGGCAACATCACAAAGATCATTATGATTGGGACCAATGTGTGGACTAAATATCATAAACTGCCTTTGTAGAATTTGCTGAATCTCGTCTTGGAAATGATAGTCAATGCCTAAACGTTGAACAGCATCAACCATGGCCAACCCTTCAGCAGGATCTTCTCCTACTTTGCTGAGTATAAGCTTGAATGCCTTCACTTTATGCGCATATTGCTCACCATCAATATCATTCTGTAAAATACGAGACTCGATTAGCTTTCAACTGCAGTCCCTCACAGGGTGACTGGCTTAAAAAGAAATATAGAAAACTTACACTGAAACCTGTATGTTCACTAGGAGCTGTGAGGAACTTCTTTAGCGGGATAGAAGGAACGTTACTATCAGGAGTACTGCTTTCTTTCTGATCAGTAGGAACATAAGAAAATTGTATGGGACTAATTGGCTTGGCAATTTGAGAAAGTCTTTGTGGAACAATAAGAATAGCGGAGGGAGAGGAGTAAGGCATGATTAATGTATATCAGCTGGTATGTGTTGAGAGATTGATGAAAATTATAAGCAGGTCGACCCAATTTATAGGTTTTATTCCTTCATGAAATGATCTTGCCCTGTATTTCCACGTTAAAAATGAAAATAAAAACGTTTTAAATATGAATAATATGATATGTATTGAGGTCTCAACTTATGTAGGCACTAATTTGACATCATTTCCTAATTTTTGGAGAAGGTAAGCTAGAGAGAGAACAAAAAAGAGAATTCTAGAACTCTTGTGAAATTGTCTTATTAACAATAATTGAGATTACAGGGGTTAGTTTTGTACAAGAACAGTAGCTAATCAGTTACACACAGAAGGTAACAGTCAACTTCAGTCAACTGACGGTAAGTGTTAAAAGTCTTGACATCTTTACTAACATCTTCCCTGAAGATGGACTCCCATAGCTCTTGATTACTGCATCATCAACTTACTTACATCTTTACTAACATCTTCCCTTAAGATGGACTCCATGGCTCTTGATTACTGCATAATCAGCTTACTTACACCTTTACTAACATCTTCCCTTAAGATGGACTTCCATAACTTCTTTTCCTTTTTGCGGCTTTATTGTAGAAAGCAGCAGTCACCAAATTTCTTCTGCACATTGTCGTAGACTTTCTACACTAATCAGCAAACTGCTAAAAAAATGTAATATGAGTTCAAAAGACCATCTTTGCAGCTTCAGTGTAGAACCAAAAAAAAAAAAAAAAAAGAAAAAAACTGACTTCACACAACTCTGTAATATGAGTTCAAAAGACCATTTTGCAGCTTCAATGTAGAACAAAAACTGACTTCACAACTCTGCTTCAGTACACCAACAGCTTCACATCAATCATTACTTAGTTACAGAGATGATTTACACCAAACAACTTCAGCAAAACACTTCCAATTTTAGCAATTAAGAACTGATTTCAGGCACATCAACTAATACACACCTAAGCTCATTTCAGTAACTTCATATCAACTAGCAATCTTGAACTGCAATTAAGAATTGGTAATCAAAATATGCAACAACTTCACAACAATCAGCAACTTCACAACAACTGGCAACTTTTCATAAACCAGCAACTTGAACTGCAACTAAGAACTGGTACTCGAAATTGCAGCAACTTCTCAACAATCAACAACTGCACACGAACTAGTAACCTCTCATAAACCAGCAACTTCCCATCAACCATTGTCAATTAAGATGGATAGTCGGCTCTATTAAAAATATAATTTCAATTTCAGCATCATTTAAACATCAACAGCTTTTGTGCAAATATCAGGAGCTTTCACCCTGAGTTTTTGCCTCAAGGTTTCAAATTTAGAGGCTGACAAAGCTTTAGTGAAGATGTCAGCTTTCTGATGTTCAATAGGAACATATTGCACTTTCAACTTGTTAGTAGAAACCTGTTCTCTTACATAATGAGCATCCAACTCAATATGTTTGGTTATGGAATGAAAAATAGGATTTGAGGCTAGAGAACCAACACTTTGATTATCACACCAAATGACAGGTGTTTCAAAAAGGCGCAGTCCAATTTCAGAAAATAAGCTTAGAAACCAAGCTATTTCAATTGATCCTTCAGCAAGTGCTCTGTATTCTGCTTCAGTAGATAAGAGAACTACAACTTTTGTTTCCTAAAGCTCTATTGAAGAAGATTAGGACCAAGGAATAGACAGTAGCCACTAGTAGATTCTCTATCCTGAATATTGCTGACCCAATTAGCATCTGTATAACATTCTAAATTGAGTCAGTGTGTTTTCCTGAACTAAATACCTTAATCAGAAGTGCCTTTGACATATATAAGTAGTCTCTTACAAGCTTGCCAATGCAACTGAGTTGGTGCTTTCAGAAATTGGCTCAATTTATTGACAGAGTAAGCTATGTTAGGTCTATAAAGAGTCAAATACTACACAGCTCCCACTGTACTTCTATACAAGTCTAGATTATCATAGGTTTCACAATCTTCAAAAGTTAGTTTGTTTCCTACAACCATTGGTGTGGAGCAAGGTTTAGAATCTATCATGCCAGTTTTGACCAACAAATCTTTAGCATATTTTGCTTGAGTCATATGCAATCCTGACTCATTTCTGGTGACTTCAAATCCCAAGAAGTACTTTAAAGATCCCAATGTTTTCAAAGCAAACTGTGTATTAAGTTTGTGGACTGTATCTTAAACTAACTTAACATCACTTCCTGTCAACAAAATGTCATCTACATACACTAGGACATAAAGAACTTGTTCCCTTTGTTGATAAACAAATAAACTAGAATCTTCCACAAAATTTACAAATCCCCAACTTAAGAAGGTTTTCTTTAGTTTGTCAAACTAGGCCCTAAGTGCCTGTTTGAGACCATCGAGAGCTTTATGTAATTTGCATACGTGATGAGGTTTTTCAGAATCAAAGAACCCATTAGGCTGGACCATGTGTACTATTTCAATTAACTCTCAAATTTAGGAAAGCATTGTTGACATCCACTTGTTAGATGTCTCACCCATAGGTAACTACCAAGCTCAAAATCACTCGAATTGTAGGGGATTTAACCATTTGACTGAATGTCTCCAGATAATCCATATTGGGAGTCTGTTGAAAGCCTTTGACCACTAGCCTGGCCTCAAACCTCTGAATGGAACCATTAGAGTTATGTTCTACTTTAAAAACCCACTTATTGCCCACTATATGTAAAACGGGGGTTGCTGGAACAAGTTCCCAAGTCTTATTGGATATCAAAGCATCAAATTCTGATTGCATAGCCGCTTTCCAAGATGGATGAGAGAGTGCTTCAAGTACATTAGCTAGTTATGCGGTGTCAAGTGAAGAATGAGAGACTAACATGGAATTATGTGCTTTAGCCTTAGATCTAGTGACCATTTTATGAGTGTTTAAGGATTGCGTGTGAGTGTGCCAATAGGTAGATCAACAATAAGAGAAACAGTGTTATGGGACTAATAAGGGGACAAAGAAGTAATTGTAGAGATGACAGGTTGATGAGATGATATTACTGATGAGATGATATTACTGATGAGTTCAACTGATCATGTGTAGCTGGGTTGGAGGAATTAATGCTTTGTGAAGGATGAGAGTAATGTTGGGAAATAGAAGGAGGACTAGATGACAAAGAGGAAATATTTTGTGGAGATTGTGAAGGAAAACAAGACTTAGAATTGAACCTAGAAATAGAACGAGAGACTCCAGATGGTGGTACAAACTGTGAATATGTACTAGAATGTGGAATTTGCCAAGTTTGATGAGAACTTGAAAGACAAAAAAAAATTCAGGACTAAAAGTAGAACTAGTATAGAAATATAGATTGTGAGACAAACTGTGAGAAGGGTTAATCAAATTGATCAAACTTAACACTTTGACAAATATACACTTGACCAGTAGAATCTAAACACTTGTATCCCTTGTGATGCCAACTGTAACCAACAAATGTACATTTAATAGTATGAAAATTAAATTTGTGAGAACTATAAGGTATGAGAAAAGGATACACAACACAACCAAAGACCTTGATGATAGAGTGTAGGAATTTTGTGCAAAAGAGCCTGAAATGGAGATGAATTGGATAAAATTGAAGTTGGTAACCTATGTAAGATAAGCAGTAGTTTGAAATGCAAGCCACCAATATTTGAGAGGCATATGAGCTTGAGCCAGCAATGTCAAACCTGCTCAACTATTTGTCTATGTTTTCTCTCAACTCTCCCATTTTTTTGGTGAGTATGGGGACAAGGATGTCTAAAGAGAATACCATCTTCTTTCAATATGGAACTAGACTCCTATAGCACCTCCCTAATCTATTTGAACACATTCATGTAGTATTGAATTGTCTTTCAACTAAAATATGAAACGTTTAAACACTTTGAGTTTCAGACTTGGTTTTAAAGGAAAGATCTAAGTGACTTGACTTGATTATTAGAAATTGGACATAATATTTGAAACCTTCATGTGAGGGAACAGGGGATGTCTCTAAAGATAAGAATGAACAGCTCCAGAGGACTGGAAGCTCTAAATTGGGACCTAGGAAAAACAAACTAATGCAACGCCAAAAGATAAGCTGAACAAAAAGAAAATTCATGTTTTACAGAATGAGATAAATTCAAGTCTTTCAATACTTTTGAAGACAGCATATTGGGATGACCTTATTGTACTACAACATTGCATTAGTTTCCTGGACTGGAAAGGACTAGAAAATGCTCATTTTATTACTTCAGTAGCTCATTACAAGAGGATTGTAGTAGGTGAATGGATTAGTACTATCAACACAAGGAGATGTAACAATAAAGAACAGTGTCTATACGAGGCAACATAGAAAAGAAAGAATGATTAGCAGGAATATAGAATTAGTAGTAGAGTAGAAGAAGACATCGATAAATTGAGTTGGACAAGGACTCAACCTATGAGATGTCTTCAAGATCACGAGAACCAACCACAAACAACACTTGTGACTCAGCAGATGATTATCTCTGTTAGTTGGGCAGGATTAGTAGTAGAGTAGAAGAAGACATTGGATGAGAATTCACAGGACTGATGGAATCACTCAAACCTTTGGAGCTTGAACCTTGCTCTATATTATATGAAAAGTGAGAAATTTCAAAAAATTTGGCCATTTTTTACGTTTGTCAATGGCTCTGATACCATGAGAGAATTAAAGGTAAGCTAGAGAGAAAGAAACAAAAAAAGAATTCTAGAACTCTTGTGAAAATGTCTTATTAGCACTAATGAGATTACTGGTGTTAGTTTTTACAACAAGAACAGTAGCTAACAATTTCATAGCAGAAGGTAACAATCAACTTTGGTCAACTAACGGTAGTGTTAAAATCAAAACCTTTACTGTAACGCCCCGCTTGAGGTATGTTGTTATTGTTTCCTCTTTTGCCCTTATTCGAGTTGGCTTTTGTTGTTATTGTTTGTTGAATGTTGCCCTGAAATTGGATGAAACAGAAGAAGTTCAGTGCCGTGCTTCGCCGGGGCGAAGAAGAAGCTTGCCGCGGCGAAGATGTGTTGAAGCCAAGGGTGAAACTCTCTGGACAGTTTCGCC